TTGAGTTCCTGAACCCATGTCTTGTATGTGAGGAACAAAGCATGAAGCTCAGATTTAAGTGCTTCGATCGTGTTCTCGGACTGGATTGATTGAAGAAGAGCCGGCATTAGGACAGCGCTGCTTGCTGCATTCTTGTAAGCGGCGAGTTTCCTAACCTTGACGTTCTCTTCGGCGGAGGTCTCGATTGCCACAGCAAGCTGCGCCAGGCGCCCCGCATGCTCCTGAATCAGTGTTGTTATCTGGTTTTGGGTCAGGGATGGTTCGAGAGACTCTGCCAGAGCACTGTGCAGGGCGCGATCTTCCCAAATGATTTCCTGTCCGTCCTTGAGAGAATTGCGCTTGCCGTGCCTGTAGCTCTTGACCAACTGCTCATCCCATCTCCGGATGAAGCCAAGTAGATTCCTGTGGCGCACAAACGCCAGCATCAGTGGCTTGATGATCCTCTCCAGAATTTCAGCGCGTCCTAAGGGAGCACCGGCCTCGTTGTTGGACGCAGAATGCCGTTGTTCTTTAGAGCCAATGGCTGTCTGCTTGTGGATGAAGCCTGTACCCTCCAACTCTGAAGCGGTTATCTTCTCGAACAAGAACTCAGTAAGGTCAGTCTGACGCTCTTGCATGACTTTGGCTCCCAACTTCGACTCCACAAAGACTGATGAGTCGAGCTGAATAAGAGATGCGATGAGGGACCAATGCACCTGCTTCTCCTGGCGTTCGGGGTACTTTACACCACAGTGATACCAGAAGATCTTTTTGACAAGGTCTGCAGAAAGGCTTACTTCATGCGCTTGCAGAACGTGAATAGCACCGCTAAGCGCAGTAACGGCCGTCGGTCGTGTGATGAACTTCGGAGGTGTGGTTAGCGAGCACCCAGCACACTCTGCAAGCGCTGAAAAGACAGCCTGTATCCAAGGCTTCTCCATAGCTCTGCTCCTGGGCGTCCGTGATGGAGAGGCGCGGATTGCTAGATCGAGCACATGAGGGACTGTGTTGAAAAGAGATGCGAGCTCTGTAGGTAGCGCGTCGCCACCATCCTCGATCTGCGCAGCCTGGAGTAGCTTTGCGCGCAGCGGTTCCAGGTTACCTGCAAGGACTGTGGTATCTCGGGCGTTCGGACCAACATCGTTAGAGCCTGTAGCGACACTGACATCTGCAAAGAAAGCTGCTCTTGAAGGTGCGAGCAGGTGTCTCGCCAGAAGCTTGTCGAGCGCTGCGATTGCGCGATCAAGGGTTCTCTGAGAGCCTCTTGTTGTACCATCGCTACGCATCTTTTTGAGAAGTTCCAGCAATGTCAAGATAGGTACAAGGCACTCGGTGTTGAACTCCTCGGCGGATGCCCCAGTCTCGTCTTTGACCTCAGCGGTCCGCAGGTCCCACATGTCGAGCGCAAGCGACAGGTTCAGGTACTCGTCCAAAGTAGTATCCTCGGAAGTGGATGGAGGAGTCGCGCACAATATCCGGACAGCAGTAAGCCAGAACCTTAGGATGCGCGAGGCTTCTGCGCTGTCCGTCCTCAAAACCATCTTCATCAGCTCAGCCTGGGTACTGTCGTCGCTTTGGTCGCTTCCGGCTAGGTGAGCGATAGAGTTTACTACAGTCCTGACCACACCAAAAAGACGGTCTAGGTTTACAGGGCCAGCTGCTGTCGATGCTGCCGATGATGCTTCCGCTGTTCCTCGTTTGCGCTTCTTGGATGGTTTGGTTCCTTCGCGGATGGTCGCGCTCGACTCGGAGTCATCTTTCATGTGAACGTCTTCTGAAGTGGCCGTCGACTGTAGGACTGCGTCTGTGTTGAAGTTCTCAACGAGGGTTCTCTCCAAGATACTGGGAAAGGCGGCGTCGCGTAGATGCGGTGCGCTTCTTGAGACGGGCAGGACATGTATCATCCAGTCGAGAAGCTGCCACGCGCTGGCATTTGTTCGCGCTGTCCGCCCGGTTTCCGTCTCGTCTTTCAACTTGTCGAGGATCCATCGCAGAACCCATTCCGCTCTTGCGCGCACAAGTCGTCGTATGATTTCTGATCTTGTGTCGTGGTCCTGTATGGTACTCCAGTCTTCGGGAAGGCCTATGATATGCGCAGCTTGGCGGATCTGTTCGTCGAGGTCGGAGAAGTCTTGGTTGATGGCTTGCAGCCGCGGTCGGGTCGACGCAGGGTCATTCTTGGAGGCCTGTTGTGTTGTCAGCTATGTATATACCCATGAGCATGAAGAACTCCTACTGGCTTGATTGGCGCCATCTTGTCACCTCGTTCCCCGTTGTGATTGCAAGAAATGGAGCAGATCGCAAAGGCCTGGTATGCGGAAAAAGTTTGGGCACGGACCAGCCATCCTAGTCGTGCCTGCCCTGCCAAGTGCCGGCGACGTCAAAGTTCCGCTTCGAGCTCCGCCCAGCGCCCATCAACACCTCGTCGAACCGCTGTCCATCACCCCCAGCACACCGAGTGCGCCCTTGAACCCCCCAATTGCACTCGAAACACTCCCGCCATGGCCGACAACACCCCCCAGCCCGTCGCTCCCATCTCGCGCACCACACGTCCCATGAGCGAAGCTCTCCTCAACGAAAAGGTACAATCCCCGGGAAAGAGGCCTCTGAGGCATGGCAAAAACATCTGCACATCTTGAAAGAGGCATCAAAATATGCCAGAAGCGGGGTAGTCGAGCAATGGCAGTCTTGGCCCGCCTCACGCGACTACTGCCAACTTCCGTTCGATCATACGCCGAGACAAGAATGTTGGAACGCTATCGGACAGTCTTGCTAACATAATCCCAGTGGGACCGCTGCCTCTCTTCAATGCTCATCCGCTCCGGCCTCGGCCTGTCATTCGGCGTCGTCTTCTCCGTACTCCTCTTCAAGCGCCGCGCATGGCCCGCATTCACCGGTCTCGGTTTCGGTGCCGGAAGGGCCTGGGAAGAGTGCGACAACGTAAGATACCATTAGTCTTGGAATTGGCATAAGAGACCGATCACTGACAGAGGAACAGTCCTTCAAGCGCGCAGCATCACCCCCGAAAGACGGCCTCCGCATTATCCGACCATAAGCCAACTATCCTCCACGAGCGACGAGATGGATCGGAACTATTCTATGTAATTTGAACTTTGCATGCGGACGATGCGCTGTACAGTAGGGCATGGTATAGATCATTTTGGGCAATTGAATGCTGTACTTTTCCACGACCGCCGCACGATTTCTTCCAGCTACACCCAGCTACACTTTCTCCATCATATACTCCCTCCCTGCTATTGATATTGCTCTCGTCATCTTCTCAGGTCCTATCATTTCTTCTCCTTCTTGCATGGTTTAACGTTTTGACAAATCTTGCCCATATCCACCCCCGCCTCACTTGACCCACTCCTCAAACTTGTACTCCTCCGCTCCATCCGCCACTGTGAACCTGTACGTACTAAACACGATACTCTCATACAGCTCGCGTCCAGCAGCCCTCGCCTTTCTATGCCACGGCCCCAGCCCTCCTTTGTACGCATCTTCCCTGCTGTGCCAGAAGCCTACCACCATTGTCAGCGGAGCCCGTCCTAAACCACTTCACTTTAGATATTGGAAGGAAGGGAACAACAACGTACAAGTAGCAAGATTTCTCCTCTCCCCATCTGCCTTCCCGAACCAATACTTCAACAGCCCCCCACTCTCACACGCCTCCCGATGAGATTCTTCGTCGAGTCGATACAGATACTCCTCGTCGATTCCTTCCTTGAGCTGCGAGCGGAAGACCACAACGTAGAAACTGGTTTCTCTCCAGGTGAAGTTTTCCCTTGCGATCAGTTCGCGCAGAGCGGTCAGGACGGAGTCGAAGTTCAGGGCCTGGGTGTAGGACGCAGTTGCGTATGTGGGGGTCGCTGGTTTCAGGACTGTAAGAGCTAGTGCGAGCAGCCTGGAAGAGGCGGTCAGGTGCGGAGAGGAAAGATCGAGGTAATGGCCTGGGATGTTGTATGGGGAGGAGATCAGGAGAGTGGAGGATGGCTGTTCAGCTCGTAAGGCGGTCTTGTTGGACTGCTCGTTGCGAAGTGTGAGTTGCTCATGTGCGGCGGCCTCGAAACGCAGTTTATCGAAGTCGGTGGATATGAATCTTGGGTCGAGGAGGCCATGAAATTGAGTTGAGTCCAACATGGGCGGTATCGCCAGTGGCTTCATGGAAACCTCGTGTGGTGACAAGGGAGTTGTGACGGCGATGTTGGCGCCAGGAGTCTGTATCATCATCGAAGTGACCTCCAGAGCCATAATGTAAATTGCACTTGTGGGCACTATTTGGGGGATCTGTTGTATGTAGATGTCCGGTACCGAGATGTTGCACGAAGTATCTTCCACTGCGTACTACTCCTAGCTCTTGCACAGCATCGGTCTTGGTGAGTACTGTAACGGTGACAGCCTACAATTTGACATTAATCGGTGGAATACAAGACGGATGTAGTTGTGTTGCGGATTCGAATAGGCAGTAGTAGGAGGCCGAGCTCGGCGCTATGAAGGCGCGGTGACTGATGGGTGACCTTTCGCTACAAGCACGTTTGATCACGCAATCTGACGAATACGATACTAGGCCCTCCAAGATCAGCACACGCAACAAGGTCGGTCTGTTGAAGGGTAGGAGCGACTGTACGCTCTAACACGTGGAGAAAGATGGGGCTGATTGGTTTGTTGGCTGGTTACGTACAATTCCATGTATACCCTGGCTGCATCTGTAGTGAGCCATGATCCTAGCGACATTCGGAAAAGAGCGCAGATGAAGGCCAGGTCTAAATTTTGAAAGTCAAGCTTTCCCTCTTTCTATATCGATTATCGCACATTGCAAAAGACCGAGGAAAGTGGACGTGTCTCGCCTGCCAGGTTTCCCGTCTCGGTCATCCTTTGTAATCGCCACGTGGATATCCAGCCCTTGCGCATCCCTTACGCCTTGCCAACAGAGATACTGAGTACAATTACACAGAGGGTATCAAATAATATGAGAGGCATACAAGGTATGCAGGTCGACCGAATCTTCGTAAAGAAAGGGCTTATTCCACAATCGCCGTCTGCGCGAGCCTATACATGCGTTGATAGCCAAATTGATGCTGGTCTTTTGTCGGGGGTACTTCGCAGCCATACTCTTCAATGCAAGCGTCAAAGGGCTTGTTCTGTAAGCGGTTGTCTCCCGGTGGTAGCGGCAGATCGTTTCCTCGATCTCGCAGCTCGGTCTTGAGCTCCATCAGGTTACCCCACAAGATGAAGAGCTTCTCCTCGAGTTTCTTGAGAAACTTGGGCTGATTCGTGAGACTGCGAAAGTATTAGTAAGGTAGTAATCGTGAAGGAACAGGCTTGCTCACTCAACAGCGTTCATCTTTAGCAGAAACTGCGCAGCTTCATTGTTGACGACCACGCGCAGTTTCTCGGCCACTGTATCGCGAGGGACGTTGGCATCTTCGAGTAGGAGAACGAATCCCCATTCCCACTTCTCGTTCGCATGGGCACCGGTCGAGCTCTGGCGCTTGGGATGCTTGTTCCACTTCCTGTCTCTTGTACTATGCGCGAAGAGCTTGATTTCAGGAGGATAAACATCGACTATGCGTACGCGAGATCGATGTCTGCAGTTAATGAATGGAAGTTCAAATGTAGTATACTTTTCTGTTGTCGTCACCGTCCGGTGAGGGTTGTGTATGATTTCGGAGATTGTGGATAGTTTCATATGAGGAAAAGCGGCGGTGACTGAAGGGAGTCAGTGTGGAAGAGAAAGAGGCCGGGCGGTCTTACCGTTTGTGTTGATACCACCACGACCTTTTTCCCATTCTCGTTCGGCTCGCTTGAGCTCTTCCAGTTCGGCCTCCTTGTCTGCTCGCGCCTTCAGTTTCTTGGCCTCTCTTTTCTCCTTTGCAGATTTGGCAGAAGGCTGCTTCGGTTCATTCTGCAACGACTGGAAAGCTGTTTTGGTCTCGCGTTTCTTTTCGTACTCTTCTCGCCGTTTGTTAATTGCTTCGATCTCGCCCTCGTTCTTCAGGAGCATAATATCGACTTTTGAATCGTTCATTTTGTCTTCATGTAGAGCACCCTCCAACTTGCCATTTGTAGCCAGCTTGGCTCGCATGTTTCTTACTAAGACGAAGTCACCCTGGCCAAGGTTTTCCTGTATCCAAGCCGCATTTGCTCCATACACGGTGATGTTGAGGACCATGTGACCAAATGGACTACTCCAGCGCCTTTCTCTGACCGGGAAGTCTTTTTCCGAGTCTGGATCTGGGTAGTAGAACATTTGTTCATTCGGAGTATAGTCGGTCACTTTCAAGTCGACTCGGTCACCTAACTGAGTATAGTAGAAGTCGACAACCTGTGCACAAACATCGTAGAAGGTATCGAGTTGCAGATCCTTGATTAAAGACTTCTTCCTTGCTGTCTTGGCTTTGGAAGCACTAATGGCCGCATGCTGCTTCACTTGTGGTGCTGCGCCCTTGGATGCATGCTTTAGATGTATGACAGCCATCTGCTCTGGAATCGTCGGGGTCGGGGGTAGGCCCCCAGTCAATGCGTGAGGCAGCTTTTGACTGCCGGCCTGAAACGCCTCGCTCAGCTCCGGAACGGGAATCCTGTGGTTTGGGAAGACGACCATGTGGCAGGTCCTAGAACCAACGGCGTCCATGCGAAACTGGTATTGCTGCAGCTTCCACCTCCGGAGTATGACGACATCGCCAACTCCAGAGATCTTGGGAAACTTGTCTTCGCTTGGTCTGAACAATCGGCAGGTGATGCTTGATTCACCTCCAACCTCACCAGACGTGAAGTCATCTTGAATAGTGAAGTCCAGGGCCATGTCCTTGCCTCGCGTTGTTTTGGGAAGATCAAGACTGACCAGCACGCCGATTAGACTAACCGTGGATTCCGCCTCGGTGGCATCTTTAATAGCCGTGAAGCCGTTGGGCAGCTGCAGCGGCATTGCAGCTGGAGATGGCCGAAAGCGGTTAGCGCGAACTGCAAGGCCGTCAAAGGAGAAGCAATCGTAGGAGAGGCGGAGTGGCTGAGACTAGGCCTTTGTCTGTCGTAGTGGTCTTGCAATACGGGCGTGCAAGTGTGACAAACAGCTGCAGGGTGGCGGGGGCATATCACTGCGACAGTCGCGACGCGTCGTGGTGGTTGCTTGGGTAGAGCGCTCGAGCCAAGCTACTAGCGCCAATACCCGCTTCGCCGCTTCCGCTTTCAAAATCACCCCTCTGGTAGGAAAGTTTACTCCCCTTTACAAACAAACAGCCGCACCCAAATCTTGACCGACTCCCACACTGCACGCCCACCAGAGTCGCTAGCATGGCCGACAAGTACATCCCCGAGCACCGTCGCACGACGTTCAAGGCGAAGAGCGCCTTCAAGCCAGACGAACTCCGCCGCCGCCGTGAAGAGCAACAGGTCGAGATCCGCCGGGCGAAGCGTGAGGAGAACCTCGCAAAGCGCCGCGGTATCGCTGGACGGGACCAGCCGGGCGCCTCGCTCGGCGCTGCCCCCGACAGCGACGATGAGGGCGGCAACATCGAGAGCCAGGTGCGTGTATACCCCACCATCCCGTGCCCCAGTGTCTATATACACAGAGCAGCAGGCTGACATAGCGCGATGTAGCTCAACGAGGAGCTCCCCCAGATGGTCAAGGGCGTCTTCTCGGAACAGATCGACGAGCAGATCCAGGCGACAACCAAGTTCCGCAAGCTGCTGTCCAAGGAGCGCAACCCCCCGATCGAGCGCGTTATCGAGACTGGCGTCGTGAGCCGCTTCGTCGAGTTCCTGCGCTCCCCGCACACGCTGGTGCAGTTCGAGGCCGCCTGGGCCCTCACCAACATCGCGTCGGGCTCGGCGCAACAGACACAGGTCGTCATCGAGGCGGGCGCCGTGCCCATCTTCGTCGAGCTGCTCAGCAGCCACGAGCCAGACGTGCGGGAGCAGGCCGTCTGGGCCCTGGGCAACATCGCCGGTGACAGCCCCGCCTGCCGCGACTTTGTCCTGCAGGCCGGTGCTCTCCGCCCGCTGCTGGCCCTGCTGGGCGACAGCCGCAAGCTCAGCATGCTGCGCAATGCCACCTGGACCCTGAGCAACTTCTGCCGCGGCAAGACCCCTCAGCCCGACTGGCAAACTGTGAGTTCTGCTCGCTGCCCCACTTAACTTGAAGTACTAATTGTCCAGCAGATCCAGCCTGCCCTGCCCGTGCTCGCCAAGCTCGTATACTCGCTCGACGACGAGGTCCTCATCGATGCCTGCTGGGCCATCTCGTACCTCTCCGATGGCTCCAACGACAAGATCCAGGCCGTCATCGAGGCCGGCATCCCCCGCCGCCTCGTGGAGCTGCTCATGCACGCCTCGACCTCCGTCCAGACCCCCGCCCTGCGCTCCGTCGGCAACATCGTGACTGGCGACGACGTCCAGACCCAGGTCATCATCAACTGCGGCTCGCTCCCCGCGCTGCTGTCCCTCCTCAGCTCCACCAAGGACGGAATCCGCAAGGAGGCGTGCTGGACCATCTCCAACATCACCGCCGGCAACTCGACCCAGATCCAGGCCGTCATCGATGCTAACATCATCCCCCCTCTGATCCACCTCCTCCAGAACGGCGACTTCAAGACGCGCAAGGAGGCCTGCTGGGCCATCTCCAACGCCACCAGCGGTGGTCTGCAGAAGCCTGCTCAGATCCGCTACCTCGTCCAGAGCGGCTGCATTAAGCCCCTCTGCGATCTCCTCGCCTGCCCCGACAACAAGATCATCCAGGTTGCCCTCGATGGTCTTGAGAACATTCTCAAGGTCGGCGAGATGGACAAGGAGGCCAGCGAGGGTGGTGCTGGCGGCGAGCCCATCAACCGCTACGCTCTCTTCATCGAAGAGGTCGGCGGCATGGAGAAGATCCACGAGTGCCAGAACAACGCCAACGAGGAGATCTACATGAAGGCCTACAACATCATCGAGAAGTACTTCGCCGACGAGGAGGGTGAGGCGGAGAACATGGGCGAGGCCGGACCCCAGGTCAACCAGGACGGTCAGTTCGGCTTCGGCGCCGCTGGTCAGCAGCAACAACAAAACTTCAACTTTGCCAACGGAGGTGACTCCATGGACATGTAAGCGGGTCCAGGTCCACGACGAGTCCGAAGTTGAAACGTTGCATTTCAGTGCAGCCCTTCCATCACGCTAGCCAGCCACGAGAGCACGACTAGTAGTGTTTGCAGTATCCTGGACGAACACGGAGATCATACACGATATGATACATGATCCACGGAAGTGCTATGATTGCGAGGACCTTTGTGTTTCCTTAGCAATACCCCCATCCTTTCCAGCTATCACTTCGCCATGATTTCAATGAAGCCTTAAAGATACACCGTCTTGTACCCCACCCATGTTCAATAACCGCATCATATCCCCGGCGTTGCGTGTTTGTCTAGCTTGTCTGAAGATCGGAATGGTTGGACTGGGCGGTCTGCTCTGGAATGGCGCTCTACACAATTGGGTGCAAGGGCAACAAGCGCTCGCAGTCCAGCCGCGCCAGCCAGATAGCTGAATAAATCGCCGAGTAATCGGCTTACAACATAGCCTGGTCGACATGAATGAAGTTGCATGTGATTGCTGAACTAACATTGCCGCTAGCTGGGAAAGAAACACGTGCGTCATCTGCGGAACCCTGATCACCCCGCCCCGGCATGCCTCCGCGAACCACGCGTGGGGTTAGCTATCTTTGCTGGCTCGCTTCGTGATAGCATGTCGCGTGTCTTAGGATGAAATCCGTAATGTCGCCTGCGCGCACCGACGACGTCCCTGCGATCTGTGCAGAATCCAATGATATCTCAAGCAACGCCCTGGACCGATGGCGCAATCATCGCGAACACACCGCCGCCCCGAACTCGCAGCCAGCGCATCACCATCTTGACACAACTACCATTCCACACATTCGGCACTAGGGTCACTACTTCTGCGTGATATGAGACGCTGAAGCTTGACTACACAACAACAGATACCCAGTATGTGTAGGTTTATGGTAAGCACAGCACCAAAGACCCGCGCAGCACACAGCTAACACCAACAGGTCTACAAAGGCAAGGACGAGATCCTCCTCTCCGAGCTCATTCTAAATCCCTCACACTCTATCCTCACGCAATCCTTCGACTCGCGCCTCCGCCTAGTACGTTACCATCCACCACCCACATCACCCCCTCTACTAACCACCACCAGGACAGACGGCGCCCACACAACGGCGACGGTTTCGGCATCGGCTACTACACCTGCCCATCCCTCGGTCCCACGCCCTGCGTCTTCACCTCCACGATCCCAGCATGGAACTGCATAAACCTCTCGCGCATCGCGTCCAAAACCACGTCGAGCCTCATCTTCGCCCACGTCCGCGCTACAACCGAGGGTAACCTCAGCGACAGCAACTGCCACCCCTTCAGCTATAAAAGCCTCATGTTCATGCACAACGGCGGCATTGGATGCTGGAAACAGATCAAGCGGAGACTGGCTATGAGTCTGGACGAGAAGTGGTTCAACGTCGTAGGCGGGAGTACGGATAGCGAGTGGGCGTTCGCTACCTTTCTCGATTGTCTCGATAAAGCTGGTATTTCACCCGATAAGGATGTTGAGCCAAGTGTGGGCTTTGGACATACGGTGCTGCGCAAAGCGATACTGAAGACGATTGAGCGGCTCAATGGCTTCATCAAAGACGTCGTGGGCGAACAAGGTGTCGGCGAGGAGGATAGCAGGAGTTTGCTCAACTTCGCTGTGACGGATGGTGTTAGCGTGGTTTGCTCGCGGTACGTGAGCAGTAAGACGGATGAAGCGGCAAGCCTCTTCTTCAGCAGCGGAACGAGTTGGCGCGAACTCAACGCTCAGTCTCAGGACTCTGATGCTGGTGTTTCTGTCGATGATGAGGGAAGGGAGAGGGATTACGTTATGGAACGTAGGGACAAGGGGAGTGATATTGTGCTTGTGGCTAGTGAGCCGTTGACGTTTGAGAGGGGTATGTTATTCTTCACGTCCTTTCCGGTGCATCGTGTGCTAACGAGAACAGACAACTGGGTTACGGTTCCCACGAATAGCACGCTTACCATATCGAAGCAGACAGTCATGATTCATCCTATCGTCGATGAGTTTTACAGTCCTAACCCGGCGCACGAGCGGAGCGCGAACTTCGCGCAGGCGAAAGGGCAGACAGTCACGGGCAGTGATAAGAGGGTCCTAGGTGCTGTCGGGGACGCGGCTTAGTGAAGAACTTAGAGAGTCAGAAATATTGTATTGGGTTGGCCATAGCCTTGGGAATCTACGTGACGGCCGTAATCTAGTCCAAATCAGTCATCATGTAATGGTTGCATTGCATATTGCAGTTGTATTCCGAAAGCAGACGCGAGCAAGTCAGCCAGCCCCATGTTGGAATTCGACTCTCCTCTCCTGTCGAGCTAGATTGAGGTTATTGCCCCTTGACGATTCGTGTATCGCAATATCAAGGTTTCCGCTTGAGGACGTGGCTGCTAGTCAAAGACTCCATCCACAGCCTTGCTTTCTCTCTCTCTATCTTGACCACATCTGGCTGGTCCTGACCTGGGGACTTCTTCTCTGCCATCTTCTTGTCTGACATCGCCTTCTCGATGACGGGGTGGGTCTTGTCATCGCGCACCGAATACGATGCCTCTGCCCTATAGGGATTGATGTTGACCGAAGCTTCGTCTTCCATGAGAGGACCATAGTCTCGAACCACGGTCTGGCAGAACTCCTTCCAACCTCTACTCAAGATTTCTTGCCCCCGTTCCTGTTCTTTGGTGTTGAGGCAGCTGTATTCGATACTCCATTTTGCCAGCTGCTTCCAGCTCCAAAGCGACATGGTGGGGTCGCCGACCATGATTTGGTAGAATTCGTGTGACATTGAGTTGCTGTGCGCATTGTTAGTACCGAACTCGTTCGCGACGCAAAAGGTTCGCATGGGCGGTATCCCTTACCTGAAGAGTGATGGGTTGTCTGAGTTGACTGTACAAGGTATGCCCGCAGCCAGCAGTTCTGGGTATGGGTGTTCTTTGACATTTCTGCAAAGGTGCAAAAGCTCATTCGAGATAGGACAAAGCTCAATGCAGATACCCTTGCTGGTCTTCGTCTTCTTGAATTTCTCAATGAGATGGGTATGCTTCATGAGCGCGTATCCGTGGCCAATGCGCTTCGATTCCAGCGCCACTGCGTCGTAGAGGTTGGAGTTCTCCGGATCGGAGGAGCCGCCGGTGTCGAGCAGTGTCTCACCGGCGTGGAACATGAAAGGTATGTCCAGTTTGAGTTTCTTACACGTTTCCTGGAATGTAACGAGCTCTTTCCTATAAAACCCAATGTGGTTGGGCCGGTCCTCCGCGCCCACGAGATCGAAACCTAGGGGTGTTAGAAACGGTTGCGCTTTGAGTGTCAGGTGCTGCTTACCACAAATAAGATCCGGGAATTCCATCTTGAGCGCTATGCAATCTCTCATCTCCTTTTGCATAAGCGGTATGGGAATAGATCGTGGTGTGCAATATATGATCTTGAGTCCAAACGGGAACTTGTCATCGTTGCCATGCTGCTCTGCAAGCATTTTCCTCTTTTCCTTCATTCCATCTACAATGAGTCGCATCTGTTCGTGGTTCTTGATGCGCTTCTCGTGAATGCCGCTGTCGGCAGGAATGAACTTGTCCAAAAGCATTGGTCGTAGTTCGGCGTACATGACGTTCTCCTCGATCATGCGGTCAATAGCATCGCCTATGTATTCTTTGTAGACGCTCTCATAGTTTAGTAAGCCTTTGAAAGCCCTGGTAGCTTGGTTGAAGCGAGCCCATACTCTGTGTATACGTTAGTGAGTACTGCGATGATGTAAGAGCAACACATACCCATTCACAGTCTGTGTAGGCCCATAGGCTTCATCAAGGCTAAGAACCATCTTCGATCTTAACCAGTTCTCAGCGGGACGAAGCTTGGTAGGCTTTGTCTGCCCACAGTGTTGTGGCTGTCCAGCTTGAAAAGTCTCAGGTTCTTCGTCTTGGTATTCACCTGGGAAATTTCTTTCAAATTCCTCCTGGAAGTCTGACCATGGCATCCAGGTAGTCTTCAGATAGCTTTCAGCCTTCGGGTTTTCCTGATCCATTAATTTGGGATAAGAGTCCGAGAAGACGTTGACACCAGGGTCGACGGTTGTTGGGTCGCAGATATTGAAAATCATCTCAGTCTCCCCCAGATGCTCCTTCTTTGTGATTGGTATGATACTGCGGATGTACATGTTCTTCATCTTGCGCGCTCGTACAAGAAGTATCTCAGGATGCAGTTCGGCATTGAAGTGAAGATGTAACAAAGCGCCCTTTGGAACGTTCCTGGCGATTTGGTATAGCTTGCTTTCGTTGTCTATGCGGTCCTTGTTGGTAAGATATTGACCGCCCATGTCGCGATCATTTTCTAAAGGCAGCGCTTCTGACGGTCGGTTACCGAAAGTAACAACCCGCTCATACTCGCGAATCGCTCGGATGATGGCAGCAGCCCTTTCCTCAACCTTGTCGTCTTTGGATCTGGATTTATCCTTGGGTCTCGCTGGTCGATCCCAAGCACTGTCGTTCTCTGCTTTCACGAGATTCTGTGTCTTTTTCTCGTGAGCAGTGGCTACTTGATCAATACCTTCCAGAACGGCTTTGAACTGGATCTCCGCCCTCTTCTGGAACTCGGTCAGATCCTCAGCGTTTGGGGAAGACATCTCGACGGTCTTTGGTTCTCCTGAATGTAGTGGTATCTTCCTAGTAGGTTGCGGGCTGAGGGCCCTCTTTCTCTTCTTTGGTGAGTCAGCTACAGTCATAACTGGTCGGTTTGAGTCTCCTGGAGAGTTGTGCCTGTCACGTACAAAGCTGCATCCAAAAGTCAACACAGCCGCGATAAACATGAGCCTTCACTTGGAGACTCACAATGTGGGGATGACAATACCACACGTTGCCAACAACCCCGGACGGGTTCTGTGGGACTCACTCGAAGTTTTGGGTTCGGCGTCAGTGGGCATGCCGATGACGATGGAATGAAGAAGCGTCTATCACCGGCTGCTCATGCCACCTGCGATAAGACTGCAGGTACAATGATGTGAAGCGACACGACTGGTTCACGCCGCTCTCGGTGACCTTTCTCGATTGACCGGTTTGGGCTGTGTATGATTCGGGATATCAAACACAATCCTTAGATCCCGTGAAACGAGGTTGGTTTAAGGCACACCCCGTGACTAGATAGTGCTCTAACCAGGCGATTGATATGGTGTACCAAATTCAAGTACCGCTGTCCCGCTTGTCGGCCTATTGCACGTAGCGAACTGGGTTAGTATTGGAATTCACAAGGTAGTCGCGGCTGTGGTTTGTTCGCTGCGCCTCATACCCCGCGGCTAAGAAAATGCGCGAGGCTGGGAGACGAGTGATGCCTGGAGCGATGGCACGACCAAGTACATTTGTCGTAGCGGCAGGATCAAAAGAAAGCTTGAGGAGAAGAAGAAAACGGCGACGTTTGCCCTGACTAGACGATGACGTTTCTTGCGCTCATAAATTCTGATGACTGGGAAGGAGCGATGCCACCAGCACTATCGCGTGCCTGAGGACACGCAAGACAGAAGGAAGGAGCAACCACATACATCAGCGCACGCTTTTTTGCGTTCAATTCTTCCTTCTCTTGACAGCTCGAGTGAATGCGACACCACTTTTAACGTCTTTTCAGCGCAAACCTCGACGTTTCGTACAGTTGTCGCTATCGGATCGTGTCACGGGGATGTCAGCCTGGTGCGTGCGCCTGTTCTGGTGTTGCGAGCAGCAGGCGAAGATGGCGATCACAGACAAGTTCAAGCTCCACTCGCAGTCGGGGCGCAGCGATCCAAACTTTCGCGATGTCGTTGCGACAAGCGGATCAGTTACTAGAAAGAAGTTGGAAGTCAAGCTGAAGCTGGGCAGGACAGCCCATCGCTCACACGATGAAGGAGGCTATGCAAAAGCCTCATGCATTCTGCCATACGCCGGATAACCCTGGAGCCTAGCCACTGGCCCTGTCAGCCATGTTGCCCCTCACTTCTTCAGCCTGAGGCGCCCAATAGCTGCACAAGCCCCAATCCATGGGGGCTGTGGGATTGCACAAACTCCCGTGTCCTCGAGACAGCGACTGTGCCTCCCTGACCGGCGTGGAATGAGGTGCCACACGCAGATCCGGTGGGCGCTGCACGCATGTTTTGGCCCCCAGCGTCTACGCTGTACGCGCGCATTTTCCTGCTCCACGCTGGGGCTTCGTCTTCATCATACATGCCTTTTTTTTTTTTGCCTCAATCCTGGCTCTGTTATATATACGCTTGCGGCCCTTTTGTTACTGCATCATAGCGCGTCGATTCAGATTTATGCATCGTTCCCATCACATCCAGCATCGGCCATCAGTTTGCACTGAGTTTTGAAGATCGCGTTTATCTTAGCGACATGTATTGGCTGCCCGCAGATGAGAACGGGAAGATATCACTCAATGAACTACAACTAGATATCGTTGGTTTCCTCGCCATCTTGGGCGAGGGTTCCGTGCTCGCCAATGCTCAGGTCTCGACGCTTTCGAAATGGATATTCCTACCACGGTTGATCCCGGCACCTCAAGCCCTGATGAGGCCGACGAGACCATTTCAACTAGAGCCATCCCGGGGTCACGTAACCGGCATCGTCTCGGGGAACCACAGGGATCACATCAATCATATTGGAAACATCGTCTGGTGAGTGCATCTTCTCGGTCAAACTCGGTAGCCGCCAGCTGCCACGAGGTACTTCCCCACACGTCTACCGTGGACCGGAGTCAACAATGCATTAGGCATCACACGTACCAATATACAACCATAGCATAAGCGTGCCATACTAACAAAGTACTAGTGACGCGAACAACCTGAAGCCCTTCTCCGTACGGGTTGTCGAAATCAAACGCGTCCACGACCGACCGCTCAAGGCCAAGACCTTTGGCCCGCTCACAATCGTAAACTTCATCGGCTTCGCCCTCTCTGCTCTCCTCCTTGCGCTATCTATATGGCAGGACGATGGCATGTCGGTGGTAGCGACGGTACTCCTCTCGCTTCTTTCCAGTCTGATCGGACTGGGTAACAAGTGGGAACTGGAACTGCCCTCGCGGAAATACAAAAAGACACCCGTACCAGGGGGAGACGTTGTCATTCGATATCCAAAGGGGTCTTTCCTGATCGTGCGTTGTGAGGAGGACGTGGCCCG